TCAGTCGATGTATTTTTTTTCCTCTTTTAAACAAAAAAAGAATGAACTCTCTACGACAAACCGCTATTAAAAATCTTGGGGCGCACTTCAGGTGTAACTCTTATATAGCGAAAACGCTATGTTAAACACTGTATGAAATAGTCGATTTTATGACTTCTAGGAAAATGTCTGTAACTTTTCGATGCAAGGTGATACAGAGGTATGCAAAGTCTTATTTTGATCAGAAACGTTTGCTCTACAAAGCTGTGTTTTCAGAAAAATTTTAATTGCATAAGGATCCAGAAAAAAACCATTATTTGAAGACCCATTTTTTCGAGGCTCTTAGAAAACTTGCTCAAAATCCGGAAAGACCACTTTTGTAACCAAAAGCACTACAGATTCTGGAAGTAGACACTTCAGGCTATCTCTTCATGTGCGTATCTCAAAACCGATTTTTTGACCGAAAATCACCATTTTTGAGGGGGGGAAGCCCTTAATGACTGCTGTTATAACGATTTCATAATGTTGCTGAAAAACATAGTATCAGAGAACAAAAAAAGCTTAAAAATATACTTTTTCAAAATAATTTGTTTTTTCTAATTTTTATTTTATATCAGTTCACTGAAGGCAAAATAAATTCCAAACTCCAAAAACAAAAATAAACGTACGTTCTAGAACAAGAGCTGTTTAATTCCAGAACACATCCATATAGTCAAGTATAATCCATTTCATCCTAACATAAAACAAGGTGTGATCTAGTGAAAGTATTTGTAATAGTTGTTGTAGAAGTGTTTTTTTTCTTCAAGTAGTAGTTTCCGGAGAACAAAGAGTTCTCTACAAAATCAGATATCTTCCAGCTCTTTCTTCAGAAGTTATAAGCATTTTGCTAAAAGTTCTTAAAAAACTGACTTCTGTCATACAACGTTCGCGATTTAAATCTTGATTCCATCTAACCTAATTACATTATGAACTCCGAAAATTTCAATCGCAACATAAACATTTCATCTTGAGCTCGATCGGATAAAATTTTATAGGAGTTGGTAATGTTACAAAGCTAAAAATGTGGAGTTCTACAAAACATCTTTGTTATAAATTTGGGCTTAAAGTGATTTATTATAGATGCAACGTTATTCTGATATGGTAAAAATCATTCTCTAAAAATCACACTGTTTTGACGCTCACTTAATTGTATTATTTTTATTTTTGACGACAAAATTAGTCAGTTATAAAAATATACAGTACAAAATGGATCCGTGACTATCGTGAAATGAACTGTGGTTGCACGTGACCATCGTAAAGTCGCCAAAAAACAGTTTTTCCAATTTTAGTCCTTTATGTTTTGCAATATAATAAAACAGAAGACAGTCAAGAAATGAATTGGTACAGCACTTGAAAGTATATAACGAACAGATATTAATATCTGTTTTCTTTTCCCCGTTTCTCGTTTGTCATGTTTATATATATACATGTAGTTTCTGTGTTCTTTGTTATTCGTTATCCTGATGATGCCGAGTGTTACTCGTCGAAAGCTTGAGATAGAATTACTGTGGATTTTAATAAAATCTAATTATGTACTTTGTAGCAGTATGATACTATCTAATTCGTTACAGAAGGCAGTCCTTTTGTAGCCATTGAAAAATTTTACCAACCTGCTATATTTAAAATTCTTCATCATCACAAGGTTGAGAGAGAGATTTTTTTTTTTTATTGATTTTGCCAGAAATCATCAGTTTCAAACTACAATTTGGAACCACTTAGGAAAAATTTCATAACTCAGCCAGAATCAAACATTTTAAGATTGGATTTGTTTTACTTTGAAGGAAAATAACCCTGCTTTAACAGCCGAACCGTACTCAAAATAAATTTGTTTCGCGATGTTTTTTGACCTAGGTAGTCGAGATTGCATCATATTCGCCGTATTTCCTTCATATTCTGTTATTTTTTAAGGTATATAGAAAAATGTTCAATATGTTTTTTGTAGAGAATTAAATGTTACATCTTCTAAAAAGGAAATTAAATTTTTACCATATTTCTTGACTGAGATATATGTAAAATAAAGAATTTTGCAATCGTTTTGGCGCGGCAATAGAGGATAGCAATGAAGGGCAGCTTATCAGAAATATGGTCTATCAATGAACGATTATCAATATTTTATAGTAGCTCATACGCATTATAAACAGTTACAAAATAAGATAACACGATAAATACACTTTTTTATTGGTTAATTTCCGTTTGAACTATTCTAAATGGTTCAACAAAGTAACAATAATAAATATTTACGAGTAATAATGTAACGATTCCCGATAAGTTATGGTATAATACGAGTTGAAATATGAAAAAACAAGAAAATAGTGACAAACCTGGTGTATAATAAAGCAGCTGAAATTTGTATTTGGCTATAACAAGCCTTGGCAACTAAGACTATTTGTATGCATAAAATTAAAATGAATCAACATTACTCAATTTTTCTGTTAATCCAAATCACATGCACACATCAATATTGATAAAGCACTGTGCACACTTTAGTGTTAAAGTTAACTCCGAAACAAAGAACATTACAACAAACTGAGTATCTTGCTTGTTATTTTTTTTATTATATTGTAATATATCAATAGTCGATAATGAAACATTTCTCTGATATTCAATGGATGCGATGATGCTTGCATTCGATCATATCCCATACAAGCTCAATGCATAAATCAAACAAAATCAAATACTTAATAGTAGAATTAGAATGTAAAATTTTTCTAACAGTGACAAAACTATTGCCTTTAAACTCATGATCATCATTCAATGCTATTTATACAATATTGTAAGTATCGATTTTCTTATTTAACATTACATAGTGGGCATTTTTGGCTTACGCAGGCGGACATGTAACTTTTGTGCCCGGAAACAGATTTCTTTTGTTCAGAAGTGATATATGTATGTAAATATATCACTCATCAAATCATCTTCAGGAAAATAAAGCATTTTTTGAAAAAAAATGTTAAACACCTGAGGGTGTGTTCCTTACCCTTATTTTTTCGAAAAAATGTTTTTGTTCGAAAATATTTTGTGCCATATATCATCTGACGCAATTTCACACGCTGATTTCGAATATCATATTATTTCTTGAATAAAAATGTTTTTTGACTGAGAAAAATGTAAAATACCTGGAAAGAAAACCTAGATCTCGGTCCAGGAGAAAATCTGCATAAAACTGCAATCAGCACAGATTCAGGCTATGTTGATGCACATTCTGTGAAATTTTTAACGAATTTGGAGCTTTGGAAAATTTCGGAAACTCATTACACTGAACATAGGTCTCGAAAAAATCACCTCGTTTGGGAAAAAACTCTTTTTCGTTAAAAGACTTGATCTGAGACGATCTTTTTTTAACCGATACATAGCTAGACACGTCCTGATTCCAAACAACACGTTTCGAAAATTTAAATGTAATTCAGTTCAGTAAAAAATTCATTTTACACAGAAGTCACGGATACTGGAGGTATTTTTTCTTCAACATTTTACGCCATTAGATAGCCCATCTATCAAAGTATATTTACCACTATTTTAATTTTAAAAACCACACTTTCGAGTTTTCGCTAAATGTCCGCCTGAATGCCCACTGTGAATTAATTAGTCATGTCCAATGTCTTCGTTTATCAAATTATGGAAAAATGAAAGTTTTATTTTGTAAAGTTATTACAACAAATTCGTTGAGCGTTTTTTGACTTATTATGTCGGATGTTATCGTTAGTTTTTGTAATGATACTTCAGTAATAACTCCTCTAATTGTTTTTTGTTAAACTACTATCGCTTAAATAGACAACGATATATCACGGAAGATAATCTAAAAGTCAATAGCCTAACAAAATATATTTTCCCGAAGAGTATGATAGTAACGAATTAGACCACTGAGAAGTGTCCGTTTATCTAATTAACTAATACCCAGTCAACATATTTATATAAAAAAAAATACACGCAGAAAAAATAAACAAATGTAAACACAAAACATTTCTATAAAACAGATCTAGTTTTTAGTTTTTCATGTTTTTTTAATCATTTTTTTTCAAAAGTGAAGAATTTACCCATTTTGCTCTTAATCTTTGAGAGAAAATATTTTGATTTGGGAAATTTTTTTAGAAAAAGCTTTAATAAAATAATATTAATGCTGAAAACAAATTTCAGAAGAACATGTTTCGATACTACCGATAAAATTTTTAAGAAAATTTCTCATCGATGACAGTTTTTCATTTGTATGGGTAGATTCTATTACACCTCTAATTTTTTTTTTGTTAAAAAAATAACATCTAAAATAAACAAAACTTGAGAAAAGAAAGACAATTGTCTAGTATTAATATCTGTACAAAAAATAAAAAACAGGTTCAGTGAAAAAATGAGTAAGAAATTAAATATTATTGTTTCGCTTTTCTCTTCATTACTTCTTGTATTCGTCTTTCTAATTCTTTAATTAACGTATCCTGTTGTGTATATACACCAGTTCTTAGTAAATCATCGCGATGTTGAACTAGAACAGCTAATTGTTGATCTAATGATTGATCTTCCTGTGTCATGACATTATCTAAACTATCATTATCTAATGGCAAACCATCATTTTGATTTGTACTTGTGGTTTGTTTCAATCTAGAACAAACAGTCAGATGTAATTGTTGTACATAACTCAAAAAAATATCACAATCAAATAAATGTCGAACATGTACATATTGTAGTCCCAAAAATAGTCCGACAA